GACGTACAGCAACCCTACATCACCCAATTTGGCATGATGGTCCCTGTGATTGAGGAGAGGGTTTGGGTGAAGGTTTGAAGACCGTTCAATGTCATTTTGTAAGGTGTGGTGGAAGCCATTCCAAATTTTACTGATTTGGACACCTCTGAAGATATCATTACCATTCGGCAGGATGGTTTCTGAGATGGAGGAGATGGATGAAATGTTGGAGGAGGCAAAGCAGCCCTTCCTCCTTCCTCACTTACAACCCTGACTACTTTGTGTTTTTTTTATATAAGATATTTATTAAGATTTTCAAAATGTTACAAAATAAAAATAAAGAAAGAAGAAAATACAAAATAAAAATGGTTAACAAAGTAAACAAAGAGAGAAACAAACCACTTCCAACAATACGAATACAAATTCAAAATAAGAAAAAAACCCCGAAAAAAACAAAAATACACGACAAACATTTAAAAACAAATTCATTATTCTCAGATCCTCAACTGTCATTAGCTTCTTTCTTTGACCTCCTCCTCCTCCCTTTCTTTGTATCCTAGTTATTAATTATCCCAGCAAATCCTTTCCATATTTCATAATATTCTGTCGTTACATTACCTTAAACTGTTTTAATCTTATATTTTTATTAAAAAAACCTTGAAACTTAAAGCTTAAGTCTTATCCTTACCAACTTCTCATAACCATAATATTCTTTCATAATTCTTTAAGCATCTTTACTAAAGCCGAGTAGTTTTATTCCAACATTTTTTTAACATTCATCAATTTTATAAAACAGTCCTAATAGTAAAAAAAGAAAAGAAAAGAAAAGAAATACAAACAGATCCAATCTTCATCCAGCGTCCCTTCCTCCTGGTCCCGGGTTTTGTCAGTCCTTATTATCCCATCCATCTAGCGCATTAACCTGGCAACCTTATATCCGAGGCCCTCAAGTCTCTTCCATGTCCCTTCCGCAGCTCTTCTTCATATTTGTAACTGTATTTTCCCTTGTCTCCTGCTCGTGGTAACTCCAGCTTGGCAATATTTTTGACCCTTCTCGACAGATCAGCCCCTTTTCCATATTCAACACTAAATTCCATGTGATGTTTAAAAACATGTTTCAAAAACCCTCCAAAATTAAGAGCCCCCACAATCCCAAACATCTCACGGCCCATTGCCAGATTTGAAAAGTCCAAACATCCCAGCATAGGGGGGTCAATCCAGCCCCCCATTTCCAAGCCAAACCAAACTTTTTCTTTCCAAATCTGGCTTTTTCCAAGTTCATTTGTCAAATCCGAAAGCTCATATTCCTGTTGGGCCTGTTCTGTCAGGACGCACTCCTGATTTAATTCCTGGGTGGGCTCCACATATTTTCCCACTGTCTGTTCAAAATTTCCCACTGCCTGTTCAAAATTTCTAGTCGAAGTCGCCATCAAATTCATCTTCTCATGTAACTGTTCCAGTAGGGCATTTGTTTTATATAAAGCACACAACAGAGCTTCTGAATACATTGTCCTGCAAGGTCAAATGTCTATTCCCACGACTGTAATCTGTAACAGCTGCCGGCTCCCTGGAATTAGTTACAGTTTCACAGTCTCCCTCTAGGGGGAAAACTTCTATTTGTTCTTGCAACAAAGTTTTCCTTTTTGAGATATTTTGTCAATATTTGTTCCTTTAAAATGCGAAAGGAAACAGTGGAATCACTATGTTTCTCTTCTTTAGCTATCTGTCAAAAACGTTTGTCTCTGGTCAATGAGCTTCAAACGTCAGTCCTGACACCCCGCTCCAGGGTCAGGACGGTGGAAAGTTACTTTACTTTAAACTCACTTTAAACAGTCCGAAAAGATCCCCTTCTTCTCCTGCTGTCGAAGGGGGGTTCCACAATTTTAAATGATGAAATCCAATCCTTTAAAGGCGATTTTCTAAGCTCTAGTTTACGTTGTCTTTGCTTTATTCTGTCTACAAAAGAACGGAAGGCTGACTTCCTGTTTAGACCTTCCCGTTCAGTACCAAATTGAAAATAAATTTTTAAATCCAATTCCTTTCTGCTCGCAAGTCCTTATTTAAGGTCCAGTTGTTCAAAGTTTAAGTACTCACGGGTGCTTATTTTAGAGTCCAAATTGTCCCAGGAAAAAGGCAGCGCTCTCCGGCAACGGCTATGCGGCTTCGCTCCACGGAAATAGCAGTTGACTCACAGCACCGCGCCACTTCCCCCTCTTCACTTCGGAGCCCGTTAATGGGTTCCTTTGCGAGTTGGGGGGGCGCTAAAGGTGCCCGCCGAGTCCCATGGTCACAGGCTTCATCCGCCTGTGATTTTTAAAAGGGTCCCCGCTTCGCCGTAGCGGAGAAGACCCGTTTCACGCGGAGCTAGTCCCTCCAGTTCAGAGGGAGTCCGCCATTGCCGATGGCGCCACCCCGGAAGTCCAACCCTGACTACTTTGTCCTAAGACCAATGCCCGTTTTGTCCTGCCACTCACCGTAGTGAATCTCTTCTTGCCAGAAAAACAGCAACCAATGAGATTTTCTTCTACATTAGTTTCTTGATCCCACTGAGGGTTGATCTGTGATCCTGATTTGCAAGGCAAGCACAAACCATGGTTTGCCAGTTTAGCACAGGAAAAGCCATCAAAAAGAGAAGCGGGCAAATATTTCTGTACTTAGTACAATTATATTTTTTTTAAAAAAACAGGAAGGGAGAAAAATTATGGTAAAGAAATTATTGTGCAAAAGCAGACAAGAGTTGAGGGGGAGATTAACTGAATTAGGAGAGTCAAGCACCATCAGATATCCCATCACAGCCCTATATAGTCAAAGCAAACTGGCCCGTTTTTCATATTGGCAAGTGCAATTTGCTTTTATAATGGCACCAGGACAGAAAAATGTATTGCAGCATAATTGCTGTCTGCCCACTCAGCTCATTTAAGACGTTTGCCAATTGCAGTCAGCCAATTAACTACACCTCCACGAGCTCCAAAATAACAGATCAGTTTTATTTTTATTTTTTCTTTAAGGAGAGAACAAAACGGGTAATATTGGTGAATGGATTTCCCCAGTTCTGCTCCATTTTCCTTTCCGTGGGTTGGCCCTGCCTTGCAAACAGCTCTTCCAGCGTACTGAGAGAAAATGTAGAAATTCTCAAATTATGTTTAGGAATTGAGACATGGGCAGTTCTGCCCATAATTAACTTCTCTCTCTCTCTCTCTCTCTCTCTCTCTCTCTCTCTGTGTGTGTGTGTGTGCAGATATATTCCCCCAACTCACAGATGGAAAAAGCAGGGAAATTTTGAACTGTAAAAGTGACAGAGAGGGTAAGAGGCTATTTTGACACCTTCCATTTAAAGCACTAATATACCACTTTAAACTGTCCACATAGCAGACAGAGCTAGTGGAGGCTGTTGGAACCTAGACCTCCTAGTGAGGTTCCTAGAAGGTCACACAGGCAGCACCTAGGTGATGGGGGCAGCACCAAGGAAGTTTCAGGCCCAGGGTCACTTCTCTGCTAAATGCAGACGGCTGTGTTAGTAACCACATACGCCATCAGATCAGAAGGACCAGAAACTATGACTGGTCTATTTTAAATCAGCGATAAGCAAAAATCAAAGTCGGCAGCGCTTCAACAGCCCACCTTGGCACAGTGGGAGAGAAGTACACAAATAAGCCTGGTCTTCTTGTATTCTAGCCTCTACACCATGTCAAAGATCAACTCATAATAGACCAGGCTACTTCTCAAAGCAAATTATTATTATTATATATTATATAATAATATATATATATATATATATAATATATATATATATATATATATTCCTGCCCTCCCTGGCCAGGGCTGGGCTCAGGGTGGCTAACACCAAATATAAATTACAATAAAACGTAATAGAAAAAACCAAAAAAGTTAATTGAAATACAGCTTAAAATGCAGCCTCATTTTAGTAAATGTAAAGGTAAAGGGACCCCTGACCATTAGGTCCAGTCGTGACCGACTCTGGGGTTGTGGCGCTCATCTCGCTTTATTGGCCGAGGGAGCCGGCATACAGTTTCCGAGTCATGTGGCCAGCATGACTAAGCTGCTTCTGGCGAACCAGAGCAGCACACGGAAATGCCGTTTACCTTCCTGCCAGAGCAGTACCTATTTATCTACTTGCACTTTGACGTGCTTTCGAACTGCTAGGTTGGCAGGAGCAGGGACCGAGCAACGGGAGCTCACCCCGTCACGGGGATTCAAACCGCTGACCTTCTGATTGGCAAGTCCTAGGCTCTGTGGTTTAACCCACAGCGCCACCCGCGTCCCTTTTAGTAGTAGCCCATAAATCAAGACCATAAAGGGAGGAAATATCAGATATTCACCCAAGCCAGCTATCCATGCTGGTTCTACATGCGCCAGCAAAAAGGCCAAGGGAAAATTTATATACCAAATCCCATATAAGGGGTCAGAGTGAGTCTAAGCTGAAGGCCAGGCAGAACAGCTCTGTCTTGCAGACCCTGCGGAAAGATGTCAAATCCCGCAGGGCCCTGGTCTCTTGTGAGAGAGCGTTCCACCAAGTTGGGGCCAGGGCTGAAAAGGCCCTGGCCCTAGTTGAGACCAATCTAACCTCCTTGAGGCTCAGGACCTCCAAAGTGTTGTTATTTATGGACCTTAAGGTCCTCCACGGAGCATACCAGGAGAGGCAGTCCTGTAGGTACGAGGGTCCTAGACCGCATGGGGCTTTAAAGGTCAATACCAATTAAAGCTGCATTCCGTGGCCAGGAGGATGATGAAGATAGTGGGAGGTGGGACCTACAGGTAGGAGGGTCTTCTTCTTTTGTTCATCATTGGAGGGTTTTTCACATTTTTTAACTGAAGGGGCGGCAAAGACAAGTTGGTGTGCTCAGAGTTTTGAAGGGGTATTGTGTTCTTTGGACATGCTCAGGGTGAGGAGGATTGGCTCAGAATGCTGTGATGTTTGTGGGGTGGAGAATGCCTGGCTTTCCACACATGCCCCTGGGGACATATAGAGGGAAAAGGCAAACTGTGCTTCTGTTTTACACGATGTTTTTATCAGAGTTTTCCCCATTTATTCATACGTCTGCTGTGGTTGAAAAACCAAATGAGGCACACCAAATTTCAGTTTTCTCTTTGTCGCTGAAGCCCCCTAACAATTTTGATGCCCAAAGATGATGGATTTTATGGAGCTGGCTGATCTCACTGGGAGAATCCGCGACCAGAAAGAAGAGGAATATCAGGAAGAAATTTAAAGACTATTTGAATAAATATTGTAATATTAAAGGTTAGTAGTTACTTGAAGGTACTAAATAGGCCTAGGACTAAATTAGGACTAAATAAATAAATGTGACAGAAAATGTTAAGAAAAGTTAAGGAATTTGATTATAATCGGAATATTGTTTTTTGAATAATGATATTGGAAAACTGCTATATTCAGTTACAAGGAAATTCAGATGGAAGAGATTAGAGAAAGTCAAGTAATATGTTTATGAAGTTGGAAGTTTAATTAATGAATTAACTTTTATTGTCTATGTGTTGGTGGTTATCATTTGCTATATCTGTTTTATTTATTTATTTATTATTTTGTTTCATTGATTGTATAGTATGTGTTGTATTTGTATGAAATTTAATAAATATTATTGGGGGGGAACAATTTTGATGCCCAGTCTATGAGTGATTGACGCTCGGTCTTTTGATACACAGAATAATAATTAATACTTTGTTATTCCAGGAAATCTGTAATGTTAATTTTCAGTGTAGATTTATAAACTAGAGATATGAGTAGTAGTTTGATGAGTCTGCGGGCTCTGGAATGTTTTAAAAAGCCAGTTTCTGCTCTTGAATAATTCCCAAACTGCAACTAAGGCACATTAAAAGTTCTGGATATTCAAGGGAAACCTTCTGCGGATAACCATGCCATCCATTCTTCCCTGATAGCAACACTCAGCGAAAGTGGCAGAATGCAAAAGACATGGCTAAAGGAAGTGTTTGCTCAGACATGCTGGGGATTGCTAATGGCAGCTGGGGTTGGCCAAAGAGAACAGAGCAAGCATAAGGAAGAAATTGCATTTCTGTGTACAGTAACCTCTGACCGGTGAGATAAATCATCACCAGTCAGAAGCTATTCTGAGCTGGCAGAAGCAAGGTTGTGTTCCAGGTAGAGACTGAGATGATGATGAGATGGCGGGGTGTGTATGTGTGTGTGCGTGTCTCGAGCAAAACCTTCAAGAAAACAGTGAGCCAAATCAAAGGGATTGTGTGTACATTGTGATTTTGTGGCATTAACCTGGGGTAGATGCTCACTCCATGTCACAGTAAAGGATGTTACTTATTTATCCTTTTGTAGGATCAGGAAAAGCCTTGCAACCTACAATTTGACCCGGGGGCAACAACACAGGAATAGAAGGAAAGCAAAGACAAACAGGGAGGCAATTCGCTGTTGCTTTATTTGCTGAAATCTAATCTACGGGCTGATGTTACAGTAGGGCTTAGGACTGCCGGCAGCGCAGTTCGAAAGCACGTCAAAGTGCAAGTAGATAAATAGGTACCACTCCGGCGGGAAGGTAAACAGCGTTACTGTGCACTGCTCTGGTTCGCCAGAAACGGCTTAGTCATGCTGGCCACATGACTCGGAAGCTGTACGCCGGCTCCCTCAGCCAATAAAGCGAGATGAGCGCCGCAACCCCAGAGTCGGCCACGACTGGACCTAACGGTCAGGGGTCCCTTTACCTTTACCTGTTCACTGTAAAAAGGGAGATGCTGTAATGTAAAGACAATGCCATTTAATTAATTGTATGAGTTAAGTAACTTAACAATGTCAGCTATGCAATTTCTCAGACAGTGAGATGAATAATGTTTTGTTTTGTTTTTGGGGTGGAAGACAATAACCAAATAAAATACAAGAACAGAAAATAATGTCCTAACATTCCTACGACTGACAGCATCCAATCTTTTCTCAATCACACCTTCTTCCCTCCCACGCACCCCACCATTATAGAACTGACAAAAAAAAAATTAAATTGAAATTCCACACCCTGCACCCCAGACTGTATTACATCAAAAGACAATCACACTGCAGCTAAGTAAGTGTGTGGAAACCTGTTCAGCTTACAATTTTGTGCTGTGAGAAAACTAGGCATTTTTGAAAATGTTAACTGGAGGGGGATTGCTCCTACACAACTATAATGGAACCCCTGGTGATCAAAGTTAACATCTCGGCAGCACTGACTGAATTCTCGTGCCATAAAACCGCATGACTGACAATGTTTGGCGTGTGCTTCAGAATATTTCCTTCTCCTCGGTGCCGTTGTATAGGTTAAGTATACTTTCCCCAGTGTTCTTATTTGTCTCCCCTCTCGATGCTTCGAAGGCTACCTTTGCGCCCGCTGGTAACCGTTCCAAAGTTGCATCGCTGATTAATATTGTTGCTTGGGTCTTTTCTTTTTTGCCTAAATGGGATTGGGAGGGAGTAGGAGGAAAGGAGATGCTATTTGACCAAATTGCAAGATGAAATAAGCTTCAATTTCCACGGCAATGGCTCTCTCTCTCTCTCGTTCTCCAGCTTTATCCAATCTCCTGTCAGAAGTAATGAACACAACATGTCCGCAGCCTCGTTCCACAGCGTGTGGGTATACAAGCATTCACTTGCTTTCTCCTCTGGCTTTTTTTTTGCAGCCTGCCCCAGCCCAGGATAACCTGCAGCAAGCCTCTCAAATCATCAAAGCTATTTTCCACTCAAACCCTCTGATGGAGTTAAACTTGCTCGGAAGTGGGAGGGCTTGGAACCCAGCTGCAGCCGACTCGGGCGAAAGAGAGAGAGCAAGAGAGAGTCAGAAACCACATGGGGTTCCTTCTCACTCTGCCAATTAAGATATTAGCACGAATAGGGAGGACATATCTGCTCTCACTTAGCCTCCCTGCTATCTTTTATGGTTACTCCTCGATTAGGGTTACTGTTCAATCAGGGAGGGGTCAGCGCAGGCTCTGCTAACGGGAAGCCCCAGCCCAGGCACCTCCAGTTAAAAGCTCTCAGGTGGCATGACTGGGAATGTTCAGGCCTCCATCTGAGACCCAGGAATGAAAGAAGGCAAAGCAGAGGCATGCATTTGCTCAGTCCTTGGCACCTCCCGTTTTTAGGGAGTGGGGTTTTTAAAAAAAAGAAATTTATATACTGCTCCATATTTCAAGGGGAATATCTAATAATAAATAAATAACAAAAACTTCACAAATAAACACACACAAAAAACATTTTAAAAACTTGCATTTCCAAAGCAGCACAAAGCAATTACAGTCGTATCTTGGAAGTCGAACGGAATCTGTTCCGGAAGTCCGTTCGACTTCCAAAACGTTCAGAAACCAAAGCGCGGCTTCCAATAGGCTGCAGGAATTTTAAAAAGCTTCATACGTTTGAAGCACATTCAAGACACAGTTAAAGGACATGGCTTCCCACAAAGAATTCTGGGATACTGTTGTTTGTTAAGGGTGCAGGGAATTGTAGCTCGGGGAAAACTAAAGCTTCCAGGATCTCTTGGGAAAGCTATGAGCTTTAAAGGTATGGTGTGGACATGACCTTAAACAAGCAACCCACCCCAGGAACTTCTGGCTAGACATGCCTGCTGCAGCTAATGATCCTTTTATTTTAGTCCTGCTCCAATCAAAAGGTCATAGCAAAGGGCCAATCATTTATCGGATTAGCATTTAGTGGGTGACATGTATGGCGTGGCGTTGCCTTATGCACGCAGATGTCACGTCAGGTCTCTCTGTGCGGACATTTGATGTGATGCGCTAGAATCCCATCTGATACCATGTGTTGTGCTGGAGACCCATCTTAAAAATGTATTTAATGAGCTACTTTATTCATTACTGCTGCTTTCAGAATATCGGGCAGCCGTGTGCCACTGTCTGGCACCTCACAAAGAAGCATGCCGCTGACTGGCCCACACAGCTCTTTGTCCCACAGCAACCACCTTGCGAGGTGGGCTAATGTGCCTTCCTTATCCGGAATGGCCTGTGACATGTCTGGTAGTTAACTCGCCACTGGCAACAGAAACACTTGCAGCAGCTTCCATGGTGCTCGGGATACACACACTTCTAACCTCCAGACAGCTGTCTACAGGTCTGAGCTCTGTGGAACAATGGCAAGAACAAGCGGAGGGCCCTCCCCTCCACCAACTTATATACTCTCCTGTGACGGGTTGCAGGCCCGTAACCTGAGACTTCTCCTGCATGGAAGTCATCACTGCTCTTCCCTTTTCATGCCCCTCCTGGTTGCGTGGCAAGTCCCCCTCCCCCCTTGTGAAATAAAGACACAGGACACTTTAATTAAGGTTAATGGGCGTAAAAGGCCACAACTTTATTGATTACAGGAATTGAGAGGTATTGGCTTAGGCATTGGTTCCTATCGACTAACCGGCTTCAGCCCAATTGCATGAAGACCGGTAAGGGTTAACCACCAGCGGGGAGAGTCCTGCTGAAGTACGTCAACTAGGATCCCCGGGGCGTCACCGCTCAGGGGCGTGCCTTAGGCCCACACCTCCATAGGCTTTGGACAGGGCAACGCCCCCCGGAATCCTTTACCGGACTACCCTTAACTTTGGGGGAAGGTGATGGCGCTTCCTTTCCCCCCTTCATTTGTATAACAATATCCCTGCCAATGCCTAACTGCCAATCGAGCAAAAGCTCGCCCCCAATACCCTCAAACCTGTAACCAACAGCTGGAACGGGGAAGAGAGGAAAATCCTCGGGCGGCCAGCCTTAAATGTTCTAGGCCACACCTCCCCAGCCAGCCGATTGGCTGACCGGGGTGATGACACGCCCGAGGATTCCCTCACTCTCGCGGGGAAGGCGTGGGCCCACAACCCCACCTCCTCTCCAGCTCGGAAGTGGCTTTCTAGGAGACAGTGAGTTGGGAGGTGCTGGGGAATCTACTGATCCATCCCTTGCCTGGACCGTCTCTTCTGCTTCCACCTGTCATGAACCAGCAGGATGATGGGGAGGAGGAAGAGGAGGGAGGTACCTCGGGTTACATACACTTCAGGTTACATACGCTTCAGGTTACAGACTCTGCTAACCCAGAAGTAGTACCTCAGGTTAAGAACTTTGCTTCAGGATGAGAACAAGAAATCGTGCTCCGCTGGCGCAGTGGCAGCGGGAGGCCCCATTAGCTAAAGTGGTGCTTCAGGTTAAGAACAGTTTCAGGTTAAGAACGGACCTCTGGAACAAATTAAGTACTTAACCTGAGGTACCACTGTAAAGGTAAAAGGTAAAGGACCCCTGGACAGTTAAGTTCAGTCAAAGGCGACTATGGGCTTGTGGCGCTCATCTCGCTTTCAGGCCGAGGGAGCCGGCATTTGTCCACAGACAGCTTTCTGGGTCATGTGGCCAGCAGGACTAAACTGCTTCTGGCGCAACAGAACACTGTGACGGAAACCAGAGTGCGTGGAAATGCCGTTTACCTTCCTGCCGCAGTGGTGCCTATTTATCCACTTGCACTGGCATGCTTTGAACTGCTAAGTTGGCAGGAGCTGGGACCGAGTAACGGGAGCTCACCCCATCACGGGAATTTGAACCACTAACTTTCTGATCAGCAAGCCCAAGAGGTTCAGGGGATGTGTAAGGAAGTACTCACAGGGAGACAGAGCATGGCAAGGGAATAGAGGTCAATGCACAGGAACCAGAGCAGTGGGACCCATTATCAGAGCCAGAGGGGACCCTGTACCCATGAACAAGGCAGGCTCTGGGGTGTAAGAAGCAGCAGAAGGGACACTCTAGGAGGCTGAGACTGGCCAGGGCTCACAGCCCAGCTCACCAGCTGGCCAGTCAGATGCGTGGGACATAAAGAATAAAATTATTATTAGTGTTATGGAACAGGACATCCAGATTTTCATCAGAGAAGTGCTGGGGGGTATGTGATTGCCTTTTAGCTTTTGTGTGTGTGTTTACATTGTTTTCTTTTTGTAGAAAAACAAAGGACTCGGAATATGGGTGAAGGGTCTATAAAAAGACTTACAATAAAAACCTTCATTGTTATTTGGCTCATACATTTATTCTGGCTACTGTCCCCATTTTCATCTCTTCTGAAAACGTAACAGGCATTGGATACATCTCTGGGTGCCAAAAATCAACATTCGCAATGGGCATTGTCACCTGAGTACGGGAGGAGGGATGCTGGAGTGGAATCTGCACACATGTTAAAAACGTTGTGAAATTGCTTTAAAAGTTTTGACAAATGCATTGAATTTGCTATAGCTCACCATCGCCTTCTAGTGTCACAATTGTACATTGCACTTTACAACACATTCAAAACCTTTTACTTGCAGCTGTATAGCAGAGTCCCGGGTTTGAAGAACGAGGCCTCCGGGAGCCTCAGCTGTCATTTCATACTCACAAACTTGTTTTCCCCAGGATACAGAAAACGCTGAGGTATATC